ACTGGAATGATTTTTCTTCAACAGAAGGTACTGGCCTTGGGGTTGCTGCTGTCCCAAATTGACACCAGATGTTTGTCAGGCACTTGTACTTCCTTGAGGGAGAGAAGGTGACACTCACACCCGCAGCTCCTGTTCATGTCATCAAGAGGGAGTCTGACCCCAGGCCCCCCTTGCCTCTTTAAGTACACTGCCACCACTGTACTATTTGTTCTCACCAGCACTTGGTGGTTTATCTGGCAGGAAGAGCAACTTCAATCAACTGCAATTCCAGAAGATTTATGTGCTGTGCTTGACATTTTGGCCCGTGGACAGAAGGAGGTTGGGATTGAACGCAATTCGTTGATCTGTCCAGCTCAAGCATCAAAGGTAACTTTTTATGACACGTTTTATTTGTTGTGTGCTATCCTTAATCCCTGTTACCAATACTCAGCAACCTAATTTAGGATTAAGAAAACTTAATATTGTTTGGTAGATAGTAGGTAACTACAAGTGCAACAAATAGCTCTAACATATTTTGTCAAGTTGGGATTATGTCATGATCAAGGGGGATGTCAAATTCAACATTTGTCCTATTCTGATAATATGAATAACAGGGTTGTGTTGATCAGAGTGACACAACCAAGCAAAAATGAAAAAATATGTTAAAAAAAAGACGTCTCTTTGGTCAACCGATGGTGTTACAAAATAGCTTGATGACGTTATTTCCTCTGCGTGATGTGATGGTGTTTTTCTCTTCCTGTTCTAGCTTCAGCAGGTTTTGGTCACAGGGTTTCATACATGTTGAGGGACACAACTTCATTGCATAATTACTATTATTTAAATATGAGATAGAGACATATGTCAACAAAATTAAACCAAAAAACTTAGATTTAAAACTTATTTTAACTGTAACAATTTGGTCATCAAGAAAGTGGGACAAGAGAAAAATTCCATTTTAGAGGGTGCTTGAGAGCTATTTTATATTTTAAATAATATTTTGAAACCACTTTTTCTACCACTATACTCATAAAAAGTACAATTTAGATAACAAGCGCAGGTTTTAGTTTTTTGTGCATTAATTATTTATAATTTAATGGATGGGACAGACAATGAAAATCCCTTGTGCTGTGAAACAGAAATGTACTTTTGAAAATTGCTTGTGTCCTCCAACCGATTGAGACTTCACGATTGACTGTCTGTGGCTGTAATACACACAATAAAACACACTTTGGCCAAGCTCAGCAGGGGACCATATTTATATATTAATTAATATATATATTAATCCTACATATTCATCCTAGTACAGATGATAAAGCAGCGCGTGGCTCCCCCTCTTTTCTTCCTTATTTCTACTTGACCCAAATTGAATAATTGAAGGAAGATGTGAAGGGATGCACCGTGGTTTCACACTTAACAATGCTGGATTACAGCACGGATTACACCCGTAGTGGGTGATGTCACGATAGGTTCACACTTGGGTTGGCTGTATCATTCTAGACCTAACCAACACATCAAGATATATCAATAACATGAACCAATGGATAATTTCAAACCAAATATCTACCTCACATATTTAAATCAATGTTGTATGTCAAATATTGTATCCTTAATGCACCATCAACTCTCAATCATCCTTCTTACTACGCAATGGTCAGCTGAACTGATATATATGATAGTGATAATGACTTAAATTAAATTTATTGTCGGCATAAAATCAGAAGAAGTGCAAATAAGAGAAGACGAAATACCTGCTGCGTTTACCTGTCTGTGCCTGTCAGTGAGGATGTCTGATAGAAAGACTGTTCACTATACTTCCTCCCTCACAGTTTTGAAAGAGGAAGAACATCAGCAACAGAATGATGTGGTTATTATGGCTTCAGTTGTGCATCAAGAAAAATACAAAGAAAAACCACCTACTTGTCTCTCACACACACACACACACACACACAGGAGAAACACTTGAGGTACATAGCACAAAGAAAAAAAACACGTTTTTCTCAGAGTTCAGTCAGAGGCTAAGTTTAATAAAAACTCACAGGTTGGTGCATCTGTTGCTACATGATTTACAGCTACAGGGCTCCAGACTAACTTTTTGCATTGGTTGCACCAGCACAAAATTTAGGTGCACCCAAATTTTTCATTGCGTCGCCTTTAACGCCATAAGGTCACCTTTTTATCGCTCTCCATAACTTTCATATAATGTGAATGATTTTTAAACAAGAATAAGTTATAGAGAAATGCTTGTC